TTAGGGTTATTTATAGTATTAAGGCTATAATAGTAATAGGAGATATAAACCTACTTTATATATCTATAATTATAACCTCCTTTATAATAAGATCTTATTCTCTCTTTATATTATTAAGCTCTATTACTATTTTAATATACTTCTTAGGGTATAGCCTTAAGTTTCTATTATAACCTTCCTTATAATATTAAGAGTAAGTTTATAGCTTCCTAGGTATTAAGGGAAGTAATGCCTTTTTAATTCCTTTAAATATATATAAATCTTATTATATACTTAATACTAGCTATAACTTTAAGGCTATATAATAATTATTAACCTTATAGGGCTTAAATATTAGTAGTAATATCTTAGATTACTAAAGATATTAATATAAATAAAAATAGCTTATTAATAAGGGCTTATTTCCCTAGATTAATAGTATAAAGGCATAAGTATAAGATATACCTATAGTCTTTAAGAAACTCCTAGTATATTAAAAGAGACTCTCTTCTATTTATTTTTATTATAAATTAACTATAATTAATACCTTATAAGATATTTAACTATAGACTTAGCTATATAAAGCTTTTAATAATATCTAAGTATACTAAGTAGGTCTTATTACTTATTTAAGAGCTTATATAGATTTTAATATAATTAGCTAATTTATAATTTCTAGCTTAATAATTTAAAAAGCCTTAAAGAGGTTAGCCTTAGAGCTTTTTAAATAAGACTTAAGTAAGAAATAAATACCTTCTACTTAAGATATAATAAATTAGTTTAAATATAAATACTTATTTATAAATACCTTAATAAACTTACCCTTATAAGGGTTTAGCCAGGTTAAGAGAAGGTAATTTACCTCCTTTAGATATAAATAAGTATATTAAAGCAGAAAGACCTTTAGTCTCTTATTATATATAGCCTATAACTTTAAGGCTATAAGTATATACTAACTATTATAGAATTCCTTTTATGCCTTTTATGCCTCTTTATTATCCTTGCCCTTTATAAAGCTACTTATATAAAAGGTTAAGACTACTTTATTAATATACCAAAGGCAAAGTATAACCTTTAATATTAGAAAGTAAAGAAGGGATATAATAGTATTTATATAAGTAAGATATTAATTAGTTAATATAACTAAAGGATAAGGAATATTATTAATATTATATAAATCTTATAATACCCTAAGAGCCTAGGTAAAGTCCTTTTTTTTCTTACTACTAAGATATATAAATATAATATAAAAGGTATTCCTTATAATATTAATACTAATTATATTAAGGAGAGGTATCTTATACTTATTAGTCTTATAGGTATAATTAACTATAAGTACCTTAAGGTATAACCTAATAAATTAAAGTAATTTTAAATAAGTAAATATAACTAACTGCAGTTAAGAGTCCTTTCTAATAAGGTAATAACTTTAAAAGCCCTATAAATTAAGATATTAAAGTAAAATAATTATATAGCTTTATCTATTAGTAAGGTCTTATTTTACTTAAGAAATATAATTTATAAAATCTAAGTTAATAAATAATACCTTTATATTCTATAATAAGTAAGTCTTAATTTAATATTATTTAATACTAATAAGAATAAGCTTTTTAACTATAAGGATATCTTTATTAAAGAGCTTTTAGTAAGTTATATATATAATACTACTTTTAATAGTAGGCTTATAATTATAATAAGAGTAAGAGGGATTAGGATAATATTAAAGATTTTATTTACTCTTATAGAGGCTTTCTTTTCCTATTATAAAGAATTTATACCCTATATATTAAGTAATATACTTCTTCTGCCTCTTAGAATTAGGAATTAGTATATATTTACCTTTACCATAGTTATAGCTAAAGTATATATATAATCTTCTATTTACTATATATATTATATACCTTATTATAAAGGCATATCCTTAAGCCTTTGCCTACTTATTAATATCTATAAGAAGGGCTTCTTATAATAAATATAATACCTCTAGGGGAAGAATATTATTAGGTTATTATCTTACTAATTTATTAGCAGCAGAAGGGACTAAGAGCTTAATATTACTTATTTAAATACTAATTATATAAATAAAGTTAAATTATAAAGTAAAAAGTTAATAATTACTTTATTAGTAATATAAATATAATAGGAAGATAAATTAACTAATAGTCTCCTAGTTATATAGATTTAACTAAAGAAGCTTATATGGCCTTATCTGCATAACTGGTTATATAAAAAACATATAATACTAAACACATAGCCGGTTATGTAGGTATAAGTCCCCTTGCTTTATCCTTGCCTTATATAAGATGTATATTCCTAATATACGTCATAAGCAAGTGTCCTACATAAGCAAGTATCCTAAAAATCCCTTAACCTATACTATTACTATTTAATTAGATATTTCTTAACCACCTATAATGCCATAATCTTTAAATAAAGCTAGGATTAATCTTACCCTTTAGGCCCTTTAAAATAACCTAAAACTTATAATCTAATAGGCAGTATCTATTTATACTATTAATTACAATACCTTAGCTTACTATTAGTATAGTATTCTTTTAATATATAATACTCTTATAAAATTATAAAAACTATTAAATTAGGAAGAATAAATAATAATCTAATTCCTTCTTAGCCTAGATTTATAAGGATTTCCTTTATAATTATTATATATAGAAGAAATTATAAATTCCCTACTTACTAACTATAATATACTACCTATTAGTAAGAACTAGGCTTATAACTTTATTTAGTAATAATTAAAGCTTAAGATATATTAATTTTGCAGATATAATTATTAGAGAGCTAAATATAAAGATCTAACTATTATTTATAGCTAGTTTTAGCTTATAGAGAATATAATTATAAAATATAATATTTAATTAGATAATATCTAAAACTTTAATAAGACTAGCTTTATAATAGGTATAATTAAGCCTAGAATAATTATTATAAGCTCTTATAAGTAAGAAAAACTAAAAAAGATATAGCCTAGAAATTATAAATAGATTACTATAATTAAGGGGATTAATACAAAAGGTTAATTAATCCTGCTGTTTATTAGTAATATAGGTAAAAATTACCTTACTACTTAATATAAAGAATATAACCTCCCTGGCAATTAGGTTATTATATTAAGTAAAAATAGATAGATTAATAATAATCTAGGTCTTAAGTAGCTAAAGCACTTTAATTAGGCTATAGCTAAATAAATAAATAGTTACTATTGCCTCTTAATCCTTAATAGTTATAAAAGTTATTACTTTATTAAATTTAAGGGCTATTATAAGGAGAATAAGATAATTATGCTTTATATGCCTGCTTATGCCTCTTATCTACTTTAGCCTCTTAATATAAGGTGCTTTAGGCCGCTAAAAAAGGCATATGGTTAATAAATAGAGTATCTAATTAGATACTTTATAACCTATATTACTAAAACTAAGTTCCTTCCTGCCTTTTATATTACTTACTAAGCTGCTATTATAGAAAGTAATATTAAGGGAGGTTTTAGAGGAGCTAGGCTTATTCCCTTTAACTTAGATAATATTATCTTAAAGCTTAATATATAGCTATAGACTCTAATACCTCTTATTAAGGTTATAATACTATTAACCCCTTAGACTATAAGGACCCTAAAGATAATACTAGAGGCCTAATTGCATTCTAAATATTTATAAGGAAGGATTAGAAATTATAAAAGCAGCTCCCCTAAGTTAATAATTTAAGCTATTAAGTTTTTTAAGAAGTTAATAACTAATCTTATAGGTAAGATAAGCTTATTATATAAGAGGAATTAATAACTTAAATAGCAGAATTAGATAGTAGGGCAGTACCAGAGGGGAAAAAGAATTATAATATAGAAAGAAGGGGCTTTAACTATAATAGAAGTATTATAAGCACTTAATTAGATAGATATTAATATGCAGGTAATAGCTAAATCCTTAAGAGGTAGTTAAAGAAGGTTATAAGGATTAAAGCCTTGGTAATATAGTATTTATAGAAAGACTAGGCATACTGCAAGGACTTATTAAGAGGCAATTAAGGTTAATAGGAAATAATATAGAAATTAATTTTAATTAATTAGATAGATTATAGTATTTTTATTTCTCTTTTTAGGTCTTTAGGTATAGATTAGTAGGACACTCGCTTATGTAGGATACTTGCTTGTGATGTACATTATAGCTCCGAGGGTCTTGGGCTTTAAGGATTTAAGGTAGAAGCACCCTAAGTTGGCCACTGGTTGCGGATTCTTAGACTAAAATTGGCCGTTTGTGGTTAAATACGGGATCTTTGTTCCGTTACTTGGATATTAGCTAATTAGTAGAAAATGGCTAAATTTAATTAAAAATCTTAGATTAAATAAGGCCAGGAAGATAATATAATGATTTATAATAAATACCCTTTTGCTATAAAACTGCCGAATTCGCCCCAGGTCCTTAATAATAACAAAAGAAAAACAAGCATTCCCTTATTTTATTTTTAAGAAGCTTTTTTAATTAAGTCCCGAGGGTATTAATTGCCATAAAAACTCGATCATAGAAAAGTTTCGCTACCAAGAGCGATATTACTAATACTAGAGGCCATTCATCCACGCAAAAGAAAGGGCCTAGCATTCAATGGGATTATGCTAACATAGATCACATGGAATTTAATGAATCTGCAAGTATATATCACGTTTTCTTGTATGGCTAAATGGAGATGTATCGGAATATCCAAGAGATGAGATTTATAATAAGTGTCCTCAAAAGGTAGGTCAGAACCAATTCAGCAGCCTACGGTTACAATCTCATAGTTTCATTAGATGCTTAGATTCTACATAAGACACATTGAATTCGTTTGAAGGAATGGGAACTTTGAGTAATACTGTAGTTGGCATAAGTAAGTTATCTACTTTGTGGGTCAGACGCACGGAGGATAGATACAACCGTCCTTTATTATTTGACATTATAATACAATACAATACAATTTATTTCGCCCAGCGGCTTATGTCAACCGATAGGATACTATTCACTAATGCTTACATACAATGCCTACTGTAGACTCGTCAAGTCATCCATACCCTAATTAGTCTCTGCCTAACATCCCATTCTCTCAATATCATTATGTCTCCATACTATCCACAATTCGCTATCTACTATAGTGTCCTTAACTCTCTTAGAGTGCATTTTGACTCTCGATTGGGCAAGCTTGGATGATAAGGTGGTAGGCAATCCTCGTGGCAAGATGCTTCGTGGTAAGATGGCAGGCGTACTTGAGCCAAACCAGCTGCAGCCGTTGTTACAACTGCTGGTCCGGCGAAACCGAGCGTTGCAAGCCGGTTTGCCTTCTCAAGACGACAGGAGCACCATGGGCCTTTGTGTACGTCATGTTTGCGTAAGTCATGTGACTTATCCCACCATAGACATGCAGTAACCCCCATCGCATTCCACTTAGACGTATCCTTAAGTAAAGGCACTTCCTGAACTTTCTCTAAGAAACCTATGACACTTTCACAGCGACAGCGCCCGGTATGAACCTGAGTATCCTTAAGAAATTTAAGGATATCTTCAGGTGCAAGGACTCTCCTGTCTTCAAAGGCCACCGGGTTATCCTGATTATCCAATACCTTGTGTCTCCTCCAGAGCCACGTATACGCCAGGAGTGAGATTAGTAGTCTTCGCCGAGCATAGTATAGTCTCTGCTGTTCTTCTGGGACTTTTCGACTTGGCGAGTAAAAGAGATTGACTATAAATGAAGATACTTTCTGCATACCTATTTTAAGGGACCCTTTATCTATCACTTTAAGAGAGAAAGAGCCATCCGTATTTAAGAAGACTATAGAGGCAATAAGCCATAGAACAGGCTTAAGGTTTTCTAAAAACTCAAGTTCTCTTATAACAGCATCTCTCATTTCTTAAGGGCCACAGTAGATAGGTGCGCAAAACACCTTTTTTAGGAGTAATATTATCTCTAAAATATAGCTATAACGAGGAGGTTAAAAAAGTATAAAGAAATATTATTAAGCTTAAGCTCAGTAGATAACTTGCCATCTGGTTATCTAGCTCTTTATATTGAGTTTTAGGCCTGGCTAGTAGCATACATATCATCTGAAATGCGGCGACTAAAGAAACATACTGTGGCGGCCTTAACTTCCCGCATAATAGCACAATACCGTAATATATAACCTATCTATCCTTCCCTATTCTGATTTCTAAACTTAAAATATACTATACCTACCTGCGTATTAATGTAATATGTATGTAAATTCGTTAATAGATGAATATATCTTTCGATTAGAACTTGTTAAATCTTCTAGGAGATAGATGGCCAGAAGAAGTTGGTCTTAACAGGGGCTATTAATGGCCAAGCACAAAGGCACTCCTATGCTGTTAGGGCCGAAAGATGCCAGAGGCCGTACCTGTCGTACTAGTTATGCATATACTAAAAATATCAATTTGCTAACTGAACTAGCATACAATACCTTGCATTTAAGGACGTTGCGCATAGGATCTCACTGCAGTAAACTACCCTAAAGAGTCGTTTAGAAAAGAAGCTAGAAGTAGAAATACGGACTGGACTTTTAACTTAAATTTCTCTACATGTTATTTCTTAACTGCCGTTGCTGCCCAGGCGGCAAACATGTTATCATCCAACGTTGGTGCTCTAAAGTGACGTGCTTTTTTAGGCTTTTCTTTCATCTGCTACGGCTAAATCTATAATTTCCTTACGTAATTGTGCTTTGCAAAGGCTATTCATTGAACCTTTTATACACAGTATCTTCTTTACTTTTGAAAATGGCATCATCGTCTTTATGTCTTTACCCTCTCCTTTCCCGAAGTTCGCAGCAGCTATGCCCAGCATTCGAAATTTCAAAGGCAAACTTTTAGTTGGGCCGATATGGCGAAATACAGAGCAGTTGGCCTGGCATAATTTCCTTGTTACCTGCGGAGATTATCTGTATAATCGCAAAGGTATGCTCGCTTGGTGGTTAGGCTTTGCTCTCATAGTCGTGCCGCATGCTCTACAGCATTTGTAACCCTATACTATATAGAAATGGCATTATGAACCACGGATCCTCATCCGTGTTTTATACTATTATCCACTGCCGAGACCAGCATAATGCATTAAGCATCCTCGCGGCTGCCAAAGAGGGAGGGGCCGATTTCATAAAATGCCAGGACACTAGGAAATCCCATCCTCTGTCCTTTTATTGCATCGATGGAACTCTCTTCTCGCCACTTCATCTTGCCGCACGGAGAGGATTGGATGATATCGTTAGCTATCTCATCGACCAGGGTCTTGATATCGATGACAAAGAGGGCCTGCATCTCACCTGAAAGACACCACTAATAGAAACGATCCTTAACCATCAAGAAACAACAGCTGTGCTGATAGTCCGGCGAGGCGCTTCGAGAGGCCTATGTTCTCCAAACTTGGAGGCATTCCAGGCAAGCATACGAGAAGGTCTGACATGCTTGGTAAGGATCATCGTGGAGTGGAATGGAGTGGACGTCAATGCCGACCTAGGATATGGATATACTCCTTTGGTGTTGGCTGTCTATCATAGGAAAGGACCGATAATACTAACTTTACTGGGACTGGGCGCCCATGCGCTACCTGCAATACGACGATTTTGCAGTAATAATATATTTTTATCTATTCTTTAGTTACTAGACTCGGGCTCTTTACTTTTACAGGGATCCCTGGAAATCAACGAGACATTAGAGCTTATCTTTTTAATTGCCACGGAACGGGTATTACCATCCCAGAAGAATCAGCAGATTCTCTCTTTAGAGAGGCTTCTGAAATTACTCTGCTATGATAGATAAAGTCTTGGAAATGTCATGGTATCTTCCGCCAGTGATTTTAAAGATTTCCTGGATGCCCTCTTGCAGACAGTATTATCCGTTGATTACACAGATATTCATCTCGCCAGTCTCTTCTAGAGCTGGGGTGCGCGAATCCATACAGGAGTTTTCCTTCAATTATACAGGATCTTAGGTTCTTCGCTCTTCACCGAAGATATCCGGCGCTGCCTCCGTCAAAATCCGGGACTGCTTCACTATTTCGATTTCATGCATTATTATTCTTTGCATTGTTCAAGCCCAGCAAGAGGCTAGGCAGTCAGCTACTTTCTCAGTCGAGTGCCTAGCTACGCGATACGGCTGGTGCAAGAACTAAAGCAGCATGGTCTTCTGTTAACTCGGAGAGGCGTCGAGATGTTAGACCTATCCAGTTTGGAAAACGGAAACGCACCAGGATAGGGCAACCCTAGTCCGGATTCGATGGCTTAGCGTGAAGACAATGGACCTGGCCGCAGGCGCCGAAGGAACAAATAGCCATGAACTAGGCTCAAATTTGGGACTTGAGTACCAACCGGGACACAAGATGCTGGCTTTTACCCTTTCATTTGCTTACAACTTCTATAGCTGCTCAAGTGCCTACCAAGCGATAGCAACTCGGCTCCAACATTGGTAGTTTCTAAAGGCTGACGAGCTCACCGAGCACTCGGAAGGATGACAAAGGCAAAATAGGCCCCAAGCCCAAAGTCCTACACTGTGCTGTGTTATTCAGAAAAAGTAGCCTTATTTCAAAATTCTTCTTTTCTGATGCCACAAAGCCGTCATACTTTCTACCTACGACGACATAAGGATAGGTACAGCACTTTCCGCCAACTTCCAAAAGGATGCTAGTTGCCGTCGACCTCTGAATCCATTTGGGCAACCCTGTCTTCATCTACAGCACCCTCTTCGTTGGGAGTACCAGGGATTACTTGTGAGCATGATAAATGTAGGCCATGCGATTCCTTGGTGCCGTTGGCGTATTGGTTTAGGTGTTTATAGTGAGTGAGAAACTCTTAATATATACTGGAGCTTGGTTGTGTCTGAAGTGGCGATATTTGGATTTCTTCTGCAGGCGAACAAGGCGCTTGAGTATGCGAATATCTCTGCCCAACTTCTCCATCTTCGCTTCCAACTGCAGCAATTGCGCAGACTCAATCGAACTTTGAGAGGTCTTGCAACCTTGGGTTGAGCGTAGATCTTGACCAGCATTTTGAGTACTTTGAAGACAACAACTGGCATCTGGATCCATTGCCGTCGGGTTGGCATGAAAAGATATATTGACTTGACCAGGGCATAGATGCTCCATGGGTGAAGTCCACGAGATTTCGGATGGCTGGCTGGAAGTCATAGCTGTGCGATCGTTTGAAGGGTTGACTGCGAAGAAATGCAGAAGAATACAGTAGTGACAGTAGGTATAGAAGAGAACAGAGCGTGAGATGCGTGAGATGTATGAGAAGCAGCTTATCATTCTTAGAAAAGGTCGCCCACCCGTTACTTTTTTAAAGCGGCTAACCCCCTGCAGCTTCATTATACCCCTGACTCGAACTATCGGTATTGACAAGATTGATTGTGCATAGCAACACTTAGGCCACTAGGTCCTCTATCTACTTGCCTTTTTTCTCACATTAGTCCCCTGCTCAAGTATGGCATGTGACTTGTGTGGTGCGCTCCTACATTTGAAATTCACGCAACTACTTTCAATCACCATATCCACCTACTGCTTCAAACTTACATGTACTTAGGACGGCACGACATAACGTCCCTGAGACTCATGAGGCCCACAGAAATCAAACCCGACTGAAGCTCGGAATCTTTGAGCCGGGCCCTGATCTCGAGACTGACTTGGCGTAAAGTGAGGATTCGGCTCTGCAAGAGGCTGCACTTCGACGATATGGGTGAGCGAGACTTGATTGCATACGAGGTCTCAGTTCAACATCATCACATCATCCACGAGATATCCGAAGTTTCACAATAGACTTTGTTGGATGAGAAGAGACAGCGGAGTCAGGTCTAGTGTTGTGCTGACCATAAAGTTTGACGCCCACCGTGATGCCAAAAAAACAGTTTTAAAGACCTGACAATCTTCTTACCAGGATTCCTTGCCAAAAGAGGTTTCTTTTACCGGTTACTGGCGCACATCTACACAGCCTCATGAGCCGCCGGCCTTGAGTTACTATCATACAAACTTGACGGTAGTCCGGACAGTGCCTCACACTCGCATCCTTGATTGGTGTAGTTGGACATCCATTGAGATACAATCCATGTCACTGGCACCTTGTGGTTATTAATTGAATTCTCCTTATACTTTCATGCGTGATTCTGCACGATATGTTGTGTAAGAAGGACTTGCCGGCAGAAACCATCAGTCGTAAGTCCTAGGCTTGTCCCCGTCCCTGAACGGGATTGGTAGTTGTCACTGCTCGATCATCATTCCGGCCCCACATAACCCATCCCCTTCGCCATCTCCAGCACTGGTTAAGAGAAACCCGTAATTACCACCTGTTAAGTGCATGCTATCCCCCATACCTGTATCCTTGTCTCCTGAACCCCTGAAGACCATGGCGAACGGAATAAATATCTATCACTGCCCAGAATTTACAAAATTTCGATCAATCTGTTCTCTTTTCTGTCAACGACATCTCACAATGCCTCGTATCCAAAATAATTGTGGTGCAGAATCACTATGCGCCGATCATCTATCAAATCCTTTTCTACTACCGCCCTTTCAATATTTGGAACCACAGCTCGACCTGCAAGCTGAGTATCCTTCATTGATTAGCCCTCTCTGTGCAGATAATCCAAACGAATTCACTATGCCATCATGCATCGATCCTTCTTGGATTCATGATCTCTCTCAGACAGTAGTGTTGGATCGATCGGCTAGCTATCACATACTCTTTGCTACCGATCAAGGGCAGATACTGAGTCTCAACCCAGGCTCTCCAGAAATATCTGCTTTCACTTCATTTGATCCGGATGAAACTATCTTCTCCGATTTCGGTTTTTCAAGAATCGATAGGTATGAGACTACCATGACACGGCCAAGGACTTCACGAAGTTGAATGCTGACCGACCAACCTTAGACCTGACAAATCGGTAGTCCCGAATGGCCCAACGTCTGTTCCCGGAGTACCAGTCGTCAGACCCAAAAGTCATGGAGAAAGCTCTCTTAATTCCGAAGATTCGTTTTCTAGTACCGCGCCCCATGGATCTAAGAGGAGGTCGGACATGGAACGTCAAAAGACCAGACTTCCCAAAAAGGCCAAGTTCAGCCACCCGAATTCCGGGCTGGACAACGCCAAGCTTCCCGATTCAGAACCTATTCGAAGTGAGGGTATGAACAACCGCACAAACATCGCACGTGCCGACAAGTTGTCCCCTTCACCAGGCCAGATGAACAGAACAGTCAACGTGAGAGATACCTTATGCGCCGCCCTTGGATCAGGCAGCTAATGAGTACAATTTGGAACAGGATGATAAAGCCGATGAGCTCCGCCAGGCGCTACCGAAGCTCGATAAGAAAGGGGATGCCACCTATGCAATACGTGAATCGAATTATATGCATTCGACTAGTTATAGGGTAGGTAGATATTTATTAGAGGAAAATAGTAAGACACCTATCTTATATGCATTAGAATATATTAAGTTATAATATAATCTCTCCCCTCTCTAGGGTCTTATCCTTAAGGCCTATAAGTAACTAAGTATAAAATCTATAGATATAATATAAGCTTACTCCTATAAATATTTTCTTATATTAATAATATATTTAGCTGTATTTTTAAATATATTAATTATCCTAAAGTAGTATTTAAGTATTATAAAGATATTTCTAATTTAATTTATAAGTTTAGTTTTAATATATCTTATTATTTTACTTATTTTTTTATTAATTATTTATAATATATAGTTTCTAAGGGTAAATAATAATATAATTTTTATATATCTAAGAAGTATATTAATTATAACTTTAGTAATATAACTTCTTAAGCTTATATATTTCTTCTTATTTTAAGGATATTTTCTTTTTCTTTTTTATTAATTCTTATAATTATAAAAATATTATATAAAAAAGATTATATTAATAAGTAGAAAGAGTAAGTTAAAGCTAACCTTTAAGAGGCTTTAGCCTATCTTTAGTATTTATATTATTAGAAAAAGTATTTTTATAAAAAGGCTATTAAAATAATTTATTATAATTATAAAAATCTTAATAAATTAGAAGTATTAGAAAATTAAAAATTAGCTAATTATTAGGCTATAAAATTTTTAGTCTTAAATAATATTTAAATATTAAAAGAGTATAATATAGTTAATAAGCATATTAACCAGATAAGTATACTAATTAAAAATTTTACTTTTTAACTTTTAAGTTTATTTAAAAATACTATAAATAATTTAATTAATTAAAACTACTTATTATACTCTTCCCTAAATATTTTAATTACTACTTAATAGGTTCTTATATTATACCTAGCCTTATTATATATATTATATTACTAACTACCTAGTTAATCTAACCTTCCCTAATTATTACTTCTTAATAATTTAGCTATTATTTATATATTAATATCTATTTAATTAATTACTTATAATACTTCTTATATAATTATAATCTCTTCTTTTTATAATTTAGTCCTTTTTACCCTTTAGTATTAACTTAATATCTTATTTATATCTTAAAGATTATAAAGCTTAGCCTTTAATAGTATAACCTTATATATAATTACCTTTATTACCTTAATAGTTAACTTTAAAGCTTTAATAATAAACTCTAGGGAGCTATTATAATACCTTTTAATTTATCTTTTTAGGTATTTAAATTAAGATTAGGCCTTAATTATTATCCTTAGGGTTTTTAAAGCTTATAATATTAATAGTTAAATAGCCTCCTTAGGAGGTATTAAGGTTTATAGCTATATATTAAGCTTTAAGATTATAATTTCTAGGTTAAAAGAAGTAAGCCTAGCTCTTTTAAAACCCCCTTAGATATTACTTTTTATAAAGGTAGTTTTAAATATAATATAAAAGGCAGAAAAAAACTTAATCTTAGAAATATAAGTTATAAAGTATTTAATTAAAAACTTTATTTCTTAATTATAAGTATATTTTAATAGCTTAAAGTACCTAATATTAAGAGGCTAAAGTAAATAAGATATATAAGTAGGTATATAAAGTATAATAATCTTATTTTCCTTATAATATCTCTTAAAATTAATTAAGTAATAGCTTTTATTATTATTAAGGATTAAGAGATAATAAAAACTAGTTAATTAATTAATTATAAATTTATTAATATACTTTAATTACTTAAGACCTAGCTTATTATTTATTTACTTATTTTAGCTTATTATAATAACCTAATTACCTAAGAGGTTATATTTATAATATTAATTAGTAAGGTAATATTAACTTATACTTATAATAAATAATATAATTAATTAACCTTTTATATTAATTACCTAAATTATAATAATTTATTCCTGGTTTTTAGGCTATATTAATTTTAGCCTTTCTTATATTTCTAAACTTATAATAATTATTCTAACTATAATAAGGCCTATTATAAAGCTAGTCTTATTAAAGTTTTAGATATTATTTAATTAAATATTATACTTTATAATTATATTTTATATAAGCTAAAACTAGCTATAAATAATAATTAAATCTTTATATTTAGCTTTTTAATAATTATATTTATAAAATAAATATATCTTTAGCTTTAGTTATTACTTTATAAAGTTATAAGCCTTGTGCCTATTAATAGGTAATATATTATAATTTATAAGTAGAAAATTAGCTATTTCTTCTATAAAATACAGTTATAAGGGAAATCCTTATAAATCCAGGTTAAAGATAAATTAGACTATTATTTATTCCTTTAGATTAAATAGTTTTTATAATTTTAGGATAAAATTATATTATAATTAATTAATAAGTAAAGAATTAGCTATTTCTTCTATAAAATGTAATTATAAGGGAAATCCTTAGGAATCTAAGTTAAGAATATATTAGATTATTATTTATTCCTTTAAATTAGATAATTTCTATAACTTTAGGATTTAATTATATTATAATTAAATACTATTATAGCAGCAATATAATCTATATTTAGAGATCTTATAGTTCTTTGCAGTATATTAAATACTAAGTTTTAGATTATTTTAAAGGGCTTAAAGTATAAGAAGGGTTTTAGCTTTATCTAAAGGTTATACTATTTTTAGTTATTAAGAATTATCTAATTAGATAAAAAGTTAGATATAGGAGGGAAAAATACAATGTATACTTGTCTATAATGTATTATAATATTATTATAATATATAAATTATAATATTAAAATTATATTAAAAGATAAAAAGAATTTAAGATTCTTTTTTATTTATAACTTATCTTAAGATAAGCTTAATATACTTA